TTCAGACACCTATAAATCCACCTCCATCTACTCAGATTATTCAATCAATGACTGAAGTAGCACCAGTAGGCCATGATTCAGCACTGAAGCCACCAGGGGTGGAAATTCCAGCTGATTCAGGAGGCATTGGAATAAGTTTATCAGCTCCTACGCCGATTACACCCACGACAGAAAATGTAAATATCTCAGAGCTTAAAGAACCTGGACAATCTTAGTTTCCATAAACAGATGGATTTTCTTAGGCTGCTGTATCTGGAATCCAGAATTACTCTGGGAGTTGTAAACAGTCAGTGAGCAAAAGATGGAGCAATAAGCAGGTCCTAGAGAAAAAACTTGGGGCTTGGCAGGTCAAGAGAGGCGTGAATCACATAAGTTTTAGTGATCAGAGTTGAGGATATGTCCTCAAAATCTATCAACACCCCTGCTGTCTGATAACGGCCCCAACAGTGGTTCTTCTTTTTTTTTTTTGACTGGTATGAACCTAAGATTTTATTTTGTTTCTTTTCTATAATAAATGTATACGATAACTGTTTTCGGCTGCTGTCACACAAATCGCAGCTGTTTCTAAGTTTAAATTTTAAATAGTTCAGAACAGAAGACAAAAAGTCAAAACTGAACTTAAAGGAAAGGTAAAGATAGGTTCTCTGATCCAATTTTTTTCCACTACCCCAAATTACTGCTTTATTAGGATATTATTTTACAAATTAAAAGCCTGTTACTTTTGCATTTTGCAAAGCTGATGGCTAATTACAAAGAAAATGGAGGTAGAAAGTATTGTGCCACAAGTAACTCCTGTATAAGCTACATCTTAAGAATAAAACAAGCTACTTGTTACTGGTAGAAAAAGAAAAACAACTGAAGCTGGAATATTATTTACTAATTATATATTATAAGGCCTTTTTAATTAGGTAGTCAGTTAGTTTTCTGTGTGGTTCACACAGGTTATTCGAAGGGCAATGCTTCCTACCTCGATGTTTAATATAAAATAACTTGATGGTTTAAAGTTCGGCTATTGAATTACCTACTATAAGCATATCCTAGCAATAGAAATTTGCTTTGGTCTCTGTTCCTGTTGGACTAGCTGTTAGCCTGATGTGGATTCATATTGAAGGAAAAACTTTTAACTGAACTTAACATCTCACTTCTCACTTCAAAGCTGTTCCCTTTAAATACGTCATGTCTTTTGTCTGTTTTCAACAATGTGGAAATGTTTTGATTTAAAACAAGAAATGACATATAGTGCTAAAATAATGGTGGACTGTGGTGATGTGCCTAAAAAAAACACCACAAGTGATTTAAAAAAAAGCTGTCCTTATTATTCATGTAACAAAATATGGAATAAAGCTTGTATATTAATATTTCATGTTTTCATGTTTATCAGTGTTTATTAAAGATGATGAAAAACTGCTATTGCTTTCAGCATATTCATATGATTACATCTTAGGCTTGTTTTTCTGAAACTGTCCTGCGACTCCTAGACAACCCGTCAAAGCAACAGGACTTACTGCTGTGGTGGTGAATGTAGTTCATGACCTTCGTCACATCTCCGTATCCTCCCAGAGTTTCCTTCCTGTTGTTGCATTATCAAGATGATCTCACATAGCCTGACCTACAGTAGTGCTCCGATCTGTTACATGCAGTCAAAATCCACTAGGACCGTGACAAACGATATGAGCTCGAGTTTGATGGGATTGGCATAAAGGTAATTACTTTAAATCGCTGTTTGCATGCTGCAATTCTCACCGTCAGGCAGTTTAATGCATTCTGAAAAGAGACAGAATAATTATCCCATCAGTGGATATAATGGAAGAAAAAGGATTCAACGAAAAGCTACTTTTTAGCTATGGTCATGTACTGAAAGGCTGTTAGTTGCTTTTTTTTTTAAATTATCTGATAGTGGCAAAGCTGTATAATTACTGCTCTGTAATTGCTTTACTTTGTAAGATGCTATTAAATAAAGATATTTAACGTTCACTTCAAAAAACAATGTAATTGCAATTCTTTCGCTAGAAGTTGCCATGATTGATTATGATCAATATGAATTCTTTTCTTGGCTATTACAAAAAGTGAGTTAGAGTCCAGATAACCTGCCAAATGTTGCATACAACAACCAGGGCTCTGAGTTTGTGATATTACAGGCATTGGGTTGTCAAGGTGATTGCAAAACCATTTGATGTGCAAATCCATTTCCTGAACAAAAGCACACTACGTGAAATTGAAGTTTATATATAAACTTTACAACTCTTAACTGTATTCAAATAGTTCCCATTTTGTCTTAGTACATTTTTTTATATTATTTAGACAATGCATTGATGTCTTTTACATCTATTTTTGCACTGCATTGCAAGAGCTATTAAATAGCTTAGTCAATTTTTTTTATTTTTTAATGCCAATAACCTTTTTGAAGGACTTCAATGACATGTACACACCGAATGACATTGACCCAGAAGAGCACCTTTGGGCTGTCTAAGTGTGGGAGATTCACTTCTTTGATGTGTAGTACACAATCATAAAGCAGCTGTGTGACGCTATATGAAACTAACATCTCTTTGAATCAAGGCCATAAAAAATTAATAAAGTTTTCCCACCTTTTGCACCAGCAAAGTGTGTGTTATCACATGACCAATGGGTGTTTTTATGAAACGTAAGACATAGGCCTAATTCTCTGTGCAGATCATTAATTCATTTAAAAAATGTCTCATACAATCATTTTTAATTAACCCTCTATAGGGCAAGTTACCATTTTTGATCACTTGCATACCCCTTACAAATGGAGTCCCCCCGTCCCTCAGTGAGGTCTAGAAGCACTAGATCTATATCCAGCCATTCAGCAAAGATTCTGCTACATGGCTGTACATCTTATTTTGCTATTTGACCAATTAGATGATTATCTACTGTAAATTAAGTTGGAAAAAAGTTAAGTCAAGAAAAAAAAGGTAAAAAAAAGCTAATTGAAAAGGTATAAAGTAAAGATAATAAGCCTAGTAAACAATTAACTAACAAATCTAAGTGCCAATATCAGCATTAATGCCTCTAAGGTTATGTTGTAACAAGAAAAATTTGTTTATTTCACTCTCAGAGCGTTTTTCGTGAATTTCTTATAGAAACACTTTTGTTATTTTTACTTAATATATTCGGGAAAGTCGGTGTTTCCTTTCTTACATTTGTGGGCATCAAAATATCCATATTTTTTTAATGTTACAAAGGTAATAAGGTCTTGTCCTGAACACTGTAGGCTTGACATTTTTATTTTCAAAGTATTTCACTGAGTGCTCTATTATTTTCTTACATGTTATTCTGCAGTTATTTTTCATAATAGTTATTGATAGTTGTTATTTTTTTTTTTTTTTTGATTGTTTGTTTTTGCGCAAACAACATTCGCATCGTTGCATTTCCACCTGCAGGGGGCGCCGTTTCGTTGTCCCAGGACGTGGCCCTTCGTGGGGAGACCTGGAGCGGATAGCGGGGCGTGGACTCCGAGCGATCAGTGGAGAGGAGACAGTGGAGGGTTCTCGGGTGGGGTGGGAAAAAAGAAAGAACTTCAAAAGATACTTACTGGTAAGACTTTCGACACTTTGTTTACGTTTATTCAGGAAAATATTAGAGACTTAGTAGCGGGTTTAACTGGGAGCTTTTAAAAGTGGGATTCATGGTCATCCAGAGGGTCCAGCGGGAGCCTACGTAGAAAGAAGGAAATGTTAGAAAGTTCAGCTATTTGTTGACTTCATCACATAGTTATTTTCTTCTCTTTAGCTGTAGATTATTTTATATCTTGTATTTTGTGTTAATAACACTAGAAAAAATGGCTTTAAGAGTGATAATTAATGAAGATGCAATTTCAGTTATTTTTACCTGTTAAAGAAAACTATAAGAATTTAACTTTTTGTTGCATTTTTAAGAGAAAATATCCCTTTACAGACTCCATTTTTCAGCTTTAGAAAAAAGAAACAGCTGAAGGGAGAAGCGTCCAACCTGCAGCAGAAGAATGGATGATATTTTCACACAGTGTCGAGAAGGAAACTCAGTTGCTGTCCGTCTGTGGCTGGACAACACAGAGAATGACCTCAACCTGGGGTGAGTCTATCTATCACTCCCTCATGTGCATAACATGGGAGTAATGTTGGCACTGCAAGATATTTTGGGTCCAGTGGAATGTCTGTGCAAAGACAGGTAAACATGAGTCATTCAAAATGGTTTAAATGACCAGAGGCGTAACCAGACAGTTTTTTATAAGGGCGGCCAAAACATCCATATTTTCTAAATAAAGAAACTATATTATCCTACTGCCTTTCCTAACAAATAGACACATATATTTAAACATCCATAATTTCTAGATAAAAGGCATAGTGGATAAAACTCAGTTTTGAGTTCTGGGACATAAATCTTTTCCATTGTCATCACTTACCTACTTGTAACAATAAACATTCTGCGTAAAATTGATATTTACAAACACTAATATCTACATAAATTGATTATTTGATATGTTTTTATTGATATTGTTATTTATCTATGATTTCACTGAAGATTCCTAGATGACTTGCAGAGTCACATCTTCTCTTTACCCCATATAATACAAAATCTATTTCTGAAAAGAGCATGAATTCTGTACTTATCATATTTGATGTTAGTATAGTGATGTGAGTATTGAACCACAAAAAAATAAAATGTTTTGAATATTCCACTTGAAAGTATTACTGCTGCCACCATCTTTATTAGAGAGGAAAAAATTATCGGGGTTGCCACAGGGGTGGCCATGGCAACCACTGGCCCCCCATCTAGCTCCGCCCCTGTGAATGACATGGTGAAAATGTGATTAAAAAAAATATATCAGGTATATTTCCAAATTTTCTTCATTTCCCATGATGGTTTGTCTCAACATGTCAGTGGTTGTCATCAGAAAATAATACTTACATGCAAGCTGAGGTGGGTGGTAACTAGTGACATTTACATAAAGCACTTAAAAAAAAGT